AATGCCTCCGATCTACATACATGCATTATGACATTAAACTTACCCACATTAGATTTGAAAGGTTTGAATTTAGATAAAATGTAACATTGAATAGAGGTACTTAAAATTATATTAAAATCTGTCTAAAGCTTCTTAAGAATCTTGGACGTGTTATTACGGAATGTCCAACAAAAAAAACAATCAGATTATTCAGTTTCCCTACATACTATTAAAATACTAGAATTGAAAATTGTCCCCGAGTATATATATATGATTTATGAATCAATGGACTTGATGTGCATAGAGACAGTACTACTATACACTGTTTACATTTTCAGATTAATTCGAAAATCCTTGTTGTATTGCTGCCAGATTAAGTATGGAGTGCTTTACTGTTAATTTTACTACATTTTATTGGAGAGAATAGTGTGATTGTATATTTTCGTTTTGGCGTGATCCTACACTTTTGAAAATCTCATAAAATAATCGCTGTTTGTTGATTAGCCCTTTGGGTCACCATAGCCAAGCAATCGACGGAATATTACCGTTGGTGGCGTGCTTGCTGCTGGTAAATACCCAGTTCCTCATTTTCTTTATAGTAGTAGTGTTCATACTATACGAAGTACGGGCTAATATTTAAGCTAATCTCATATGCACAGGAAGAATCAGTGATTAGTACGTGCTAAGGAACGCCTTAAACTCATGATATACAAAACTCTTCAGTTATGATGTTAACTATGATTACTCACGGTTATAAAATAATACCAAAGTAAATTCATAAAGTGCAGATTGCAAAATAACAGGAAGTTGCACAGCGTCACATCGTCAGTTATTTTTTTCTTAAGAACACGTTGATCGCCATGTCGGAAATGGCGTACCGAAATGAATAGTAAATCTTTAAAATAAATATTGAATACGATGGTGTTTCAGGAGCATAGCCTTGACAACGCATTCACGCTCACTTCGTTAGTCCGTGCTAAGGATTTGCACCAGGTCTTAAAAACGGGCTCGATTCAAGTTCAATCCGTACATAGCATTTCTTAGCCCATGCTAAGCGTACACGCATGTTTTCTTACACGGGATAAGGTGTTACATCTCTCATTAGCCCGTGCTAAGAAGATGTGCGTGAACGCTACTAATAACTCTTTCCTTCATCTGACCCCATATGTTTCGTTTATTGACCTCCCAATAAGCATTGCGCAACAGCAATAATTTTATACATATTTCCGTAGACCCTTCAACTCTGTAGTTCTTGCGAATTTGTCGAGGTTATCTTAAATCACACCACGTACTGTACGAGGCATGGACGCCCACTTGTGGCTCGTCGGGATAGTTTGCCAAATCGTCATCGTATCGGCAGCTAATAATGCAAAACTACCGGTTGTCGTGGTAACATGGTCATATCCCGAAGCAACTTCAAAAGGTAAGTAAACCAAATAAAACATTACAGGTGCAAACGATATCAATTTTGTAATATGTCATACACTTGAAACATTGCATCTGCTTCGATTGCCTAAATATTAACGCGGTTCGATTGTTTTAGACCCCAAACTGTAAATATTGTAATACACATTAAAATACTAAGACAGAGTGTTCAAATAGAGATCGAGAATACGTTTGGTGACACACTTGTTGACCTTGTGTACGAGTTGGCATGCGCTTGTAGATAAGCTACGCTTTGTACATACAGCTGTTGCAGAAAAATAACTCTCATCTGGTCGCCATTACAACAATGTTACAGACCAATTTGCTACCCGCTGTAATGTGTCATCTTGTCTACATGCCAAACATAATACAAAACACGCATATCAATATTCTTTTCCCCTGAAAGTATTTGAATAGTAACCACTACTTAACTTTATGAAGTTTCTGCGACAAAATAAAAAAGGCGGATACAGGGATTTGCTAATCTTACGTTGTGTATTCTCTAATGCGTTCAATATACACTTATTTTTTGATATAAGTATGTTAACTGTGGATTCTACACACCTTAAAACAAATTGTATTCACATAAGTTACTATTTACCCCGTCCATGGCACAACATGATTAATAGTGAATTATAAGTCAGTTTGGCATTACTTTTACAAATCAAACATCCTGAATTGTTGTAAGTATCAGGGGGAAATTCTTCTCCTCTGGGGTTCTCCACACTTGTCAGGGGGGAATCTCGTCTCGTCTCTCTATCGCGTCCCCTTGAGGTACGGGATCGGGGAAGTCACTTAAGCTTTACAGTCAAATAAGACGCACACAACAAAATACGTTTCAACTTTCGCCTTAGCAGATCAGTCGAGCACTCTATAAGACACAGCGCCCTGGGGAAGAAATCCCCAAGACTATCGCAAGGCTGACCCAAGACTAGCCCAAGACTAGCCCAAGACTATGTCAAGATTCGCCCCACGACTCTCCAAAACTGGACCACGACTGCGTCTGTGTGCTGTAGTCGCCAATACCAACTAAAACTCTCTTTGTTCATTTTCTAAACTTTAACCAATTACAAAACAGTATAAAGACTCTAAGGCGTAACCTTCAATCATAAAGCCAATCACACTAAGTACTGAATACGTCATATATTTTGATTAATCGTTCACTACATTAATAACTACGGATACCAACTGTCAGAATGAGTAGTCAGAATAGCTACGGTTATCTCGTAACTAGTTCCAAATCACTGAGCCAAGTTCCGTCCAAAACTTCAAATAGGCCTAAACGATGACAGACATAACACAGCAATTCAGCTAATAATCAACTAATTAAGTCGATCAACAGATACGCAAAAACAAATTCATGACATAAGTATCAGCGTGAAATTCTTCTCCTCTGAGGTTCTCCAACACGTGTCAGGGAGAATATCGTCTGGTCTCTATATCTCGTCTGATTGAGGTGCGGGATCGGGAAAGTCACTTAAGCTTTACAGTCAAATAGACACACACAACGAAATACGTATCAACTCTCGTCTTTAGTCGGTCAATCGAGTATTCTATAAGACACAGCGCCCTGGGGAAAAGTTCCCAAGACTATCTTAAGGCAGGCCCAAGACTGCGTCTCTCGTGGTGCTCTCTCCAAGACCAACTAAAACAACTTTATTTACTTTCAAAACCTTAACCAATTACAAAGCAGTTAAAAGACTCTAAGGCGTGGCCTTCACACATAGCCAATCACACTAAGTACTGGATACATCATATATTTTGATTAATCGTTCACTATATTAGTAATTGCGAATACCAACTGTCAGAAATAGTAGTCCGACTAGCTACGGTTATCTCGTAATCAGTTCCAAATCACTGAGTCAAGTTCCGTCCAGGACCTCGCATGAGCCTAAATGATGACAAATATAACACAGCCATTCACTAGTAATCAGCTAAACAAGTCAGTCAACAGATACGCGAAAACTAATTCATGACATAAGCAAGTAGTAATAAATAACAGTTCTCGTTAGTAGGAAATATTCCATATTTTGCGATGAAGCCACGCATTGCTAGCACAAATGACAGAAAAAAATTGCATTCATCATCGTTCAGAATCATTTTAATAAAAACAACACCAATTGGCATTTAAATTGTCTTCTCCCTGAGGCCAGCTTTCTTATCAAGTCAGCACCCTTTTACTGCAGCTTTCTTAACAAGTCAGCACCCTTTTACTGCAGCTTTCTTAACAAGCCAGCACCCTTTTACTGCAGCTTTCTTAACAAGCCAGCACCCTTTTACTGCTTACTGCAGGTACCCACGTTTGTTCCGTGAACGACAAAGCCACCCAAACATGCGACCGTGTGTGTGTGTGGGGGGGGGGGGACTGCAAACGATACAAACCCCGATTCTTAATCTCTGCATTTCTTCACGAATAGTTGTTGCTGGGTATGAACAACTACTACTTTCTTGTGATGCTTCGTTAGTTACAGCAACTTGTTGACGGTGTCTGAGCATTCTCTCAACATCATAGATACAGGTCCCACAATGTCCGACGAGCTTCTGCTATAGAACGATCACACGACACGAACACCATATTAAAGTATCATTTATTTCGTCACATATAGTTATGGTGATTTCGACAATTTAATCTGGTCACATTTTCTAAATAGTAGCTTATCTAATGGCGATAAACTGGGTATATTCTGAGATTGACCCATCAATTCGCTCGCCTCCAATATACGGGTTGTTTTTACTTTCTTTCACATAAATTATGATCACATCGCAACACAAGGTATAATAATGAAAGTTCAAAAATGTCAAGACATAATAATGACAGAAAAATGCCAAGACACAAGACATTATAATGACAGCTTAAAACAAATTAGATATAGTTAGCGACAAAACAATTTGCAGAATTGATTCCAGTGTCGAGAACGCTTCCTGATCGCCTCTGCTTGATTTCCTTGGTCACTTATCGAAATGAGCTTTCAGAGTTGATGCTCTTAATGAAAAAAAAAATGAAAGTGTGTATATATGCATACTACGAACTTTCATTTTGCAAATGTTAGCCTTACATATCTGAACAAAATAATATACGCCAAATTCTATTTCCCAATGTTATCGTTGAAAATGTATAAACACTCGTTTACCATGTTCTACATTTATTGTTACAATTACACGTATTTCAATGACAAACAAATACAAGTGTAACCATTCATGCCATTTCTGCCTTGTATGCGATCCTTGCGAACAGAACGTCAAATCTTGATACAAAGTCAAGTATAGCACGAGCTATTTTGTCAAGCTCATGTGAATCCTACCAAGGCTATATAAGGCCAACTTGTATCATGTTGCTTGCTACTTCTTTAGCATTTCAGTCCGTGTTTATCTTACGTTGTGAAATACAATACGTCATTACTATACACAACGTTAAGATGTAAGCATACACATTATTGTTGATAAGGTTAGTCAGAAATCGTGTGATACTTTTCATTTGTTTACCGTGGACCATATTTTGTGAAAATTGGACAAATATTATTTTAGTGTAATTTTATGTGTTCGCCCTGTACCATATGTCATGAAATCTCAGTTATAGCAACCAATGGCCAAACCATTTTAATACTAGCAAATAAAAATGGCTGTCATCTACCATTTTCTCAAATAATAGGCTGGAGACCCAAACGATTTAAAGTCGGCCTTCTTATTTTGAACGAGAGTACGATGTACTGGACAAATTCTAGGTAGTTTAGTTCATGAGTGGGTTGGTTTTTACCCAAAACCCCACTATAAACATAAAGATGAGAGACAAACCGAGTCTGTGCACATATCCCATATTACCAACCTTCGGCCAACGACATAATATTACAGGAATATACAACGACATGTATGCTATAGAATACACAAGTAGTATTAATCATACGTATCATTGTAACAACGTGACTGCTGCACCATCTTTTGTATTCATTCCTCCATAGCTTGGGAGGTTGTCAGCGGAAATTCTTACACAGCAGTGGACGCCGTCGAACAAGGATGTAACGTATGTGAAGACGATCCTGTGCTTTGTCACCTTAGTGTGGGATACGGCGGAATGTAAGTGGGAAATGAATGCCAGTTTTTGCATGATAAGTCTTGCGTTCTGTTCATCACGTGTTACGTAGACATGATTACTCATCGCGTATACCACCCCAAAAAATAAAGTGTTTAGAATTGTTTAAAAGAGTATTAGCTCCGAATTTTGTGTGAAATAATGTTGTTGAATGATATACTATGAGATTATAACGAGGATACCTTAAAGTATGCACGAAGACTGTACAGCGGGAGTATCGACCGACGCGCAGCGGAGGTCGATGCGACCGCGTATTGTCTGTCATACTTTGCAGTATCCTCGTAATAACATTATTATTATACATTTTTTCCTCCCAGGAATACATCATGGGAATACCGAAATCCAAAAAGTTTAGAACAGATTTAGCGAACTTCTTTGTGAGAGGTCCGGTCAAACCCTGGGCCTGGGGGCAGCTATCTTTGTTTGTTATTATTAGATGGTAGGATGAAAACACCCAGTGCAATACCGCAAAATTACGGAACGCTTTAACGTATGGCGCTACGGTGACAGATGTATAATAATACATTCTAAGCGAATTTTATTGACAGTACATTACTTGTGATTACAGAGTTGACACTAGCGGTGAGCCAACACTGGATGCAATGATAATGGACGGGTAAGAATATACCTTGATAACTTCGCAATCTGCTACCACCTCATTCGCAAACAAACGGAAGTAGAATAAATCACAGTTTCACCGCTAGACAGTTATTATTGAAAATACAGTCTAAAGGGACTAGGAAAACAAGCCACTTTCAATATAGAGACTCTCAACTTTAAGGATGTAGTAGTCTAGACGCTTTCCGGAAGTGAAACACATATTAATTACATTCCCAGAAGAGTAGTTCTAAATCATTTCAACCTATATATGTTATAACAACCTAGACTTCCCCTAAATACAAATGAATGTTATATCAGGCGCAACCCTCACTTGGTCATCTTTACTGTGTTTCCTTCGTGCACGCAGGCCAAGTGGACGAATGAACAATGACAGTTATGATCCATCTAAAAGGTTTTTAATTCATGGTTTAGTGTGGAAAGACCCTATACATTATCTGAATCTCCATCTATAAACTCTTTTAAATATGTACATATCATTTGAACAAATAAAAACCTAGTCATGTGAGTAGATAGGTATCACACTGTACTGTATGTAGCACACGTTGAAATGCTATTTTAGCGAATATGATTCAATACATGAATTAGCATAATCTTAATTTAGCTAAAGTGTCATCAGTCTCACTGTGATATACTTAATTTTAAACTATCGGCATCTTGAATTGGTGAAATTACAGATTAGTAAAAATAATATGCTAGCTAAAAAGACATGTTTTGCACTGCTCATTGGTTAATGCACCGTTCTTCGTAAGGGACGTTGGTTAATGGCATTCTTGACCTAATGTGCCAAAGGATACATGCCGGGCAACTAATGCGCCACAAGCGATCAAGTGATCGAAAACATTCGCTCACGATAAAACTAAGTAAAATTTTCTTTTTATTTCACATCAAAACAAAGAGGTAAATTTGTTTGCATGCATCATGTCTGCGTAAGAGGCATTATTGGTATAACCGTAAGCTACGTCACTTCGTAGTTTTGATAATCGTTTAAGTATTATTCGTACGTTGATTACTACAAACGTGTTTTATTTGAGATTGTAATAATAATATTATTTTAGTCTGCAGCATTTGTATTTCGAGAATGTTTAGAATTGTTTCATTTTTAAATTCAAACTATTATTAATGGAATTTATGTTTTAATTTCGTCTTTGTTCAAATCTAGGAAGTATTGCTTGGATATCTACATTTATTTATTAAAAATAAAGAAATAAACAAATTGAAATTGTGAAATATAGTACCAAGCTCATTAATATTCATATAAATCATTAATATTCATAAGCGACCAGCACTCCCATTGGACTAGTTAGATCCTTGATTATTAATAATGTTGGTTAATCTATGGCAGGTCAACCCATGACGTGGGCGCTGTTGGTGGCATAAAGAATATCAAACGGGCTATATCTGTAGCAAGACTTGTGAAGGATCACACCAGACATACTCTATTGGTCGGAGACTCTGGTAATTATCAGTGACGTGACAAAAAAATAGTTTTTCTATTTTTTCCGGACTGATTGGGACGTAATTGTTCCAACAACAATAAATAAGTAAATAAATTAAATTTTCCCAGCATGCATGGTGCTTTTGCCACTCTTATGGAAATATGATATAGGCTCCATTTTAAAAATAGGCGAATTTATATTTATTGTTATTGTTATTTTCGTTTATTTATGAAGTTTTACTTGCTGATATTATTTTTTTTAAATCGAATAAATAAATAAATTGTGTATTTATTGTTATAGCAACATCTTTTGCGACTGCATTTGGTGGTCTTGACAACGAGTCTCTCGAGAATAATGTAACAAGGTAAGCAACATTTATTTATGAACACACAAACATCGGACTATATATTGGACTAATTGCACATGGCACTAATTTAATTTTAGTGGTAGGACATTCAACATATATTTTTTTTACATTTGTATTGATATTCTCACTGTAAGTTAAACAGTTATCTTGGTCGTGCAACAAATACTTTGCGCTTGATGACGTAGTCATTTTTCAGTAATGCGCATGCGTGTTGATAACCGATACGTACAATTACTAGTATTAAATAGAAGTGCACGTGCATTGTTAAATAGTTAAATAATTGTTTATTCATCTCACGATAAATCACAAGCCTGGCTGTGTATTAGGATTTAATATCAGACTTATTAAATTATAAAAGAAATACTCGAAGTTTTCAAAAATGCTTTGATCAGCAGCTGAAATTTTGACTTAACTTTATTTTCAGAACAAGATACGAAGACTGGTTAGATGATAAGTGCCAACCTAATTTCTGGGAGGTAGGTCAGGATCGTATGTTACCCCCCCCCCCTTCATTGGAAAGGTGTGTGTAATTGCATAATTCGCTGAAGCTATGTAACTAGTTTTTAGTTTCACCTAATAGGCAATGTCATTGGCATGCATTGTTTTGATATGTTCTGCATGACTTGTGTCGAAACGCAGAATTATGTGATATCATGTGACTGTATCATGACCCCGGGGGGTCACTCTATATTAAAACCTTACACCATGTGCGTTCTTGCTAAAAAATACTAGGCCCCTAGGGCTGGCAGTACATTGGCAAACCATACCCACTATTGCGGACGCAATGTAAATTTAGTACCCCATAAAACAGACATATTGAAGAAAAAACACACCCTATTTCAGACACATATTGAGAACATCCTACCCCATATTGCGAGCATTCTATGCCGTTTTTTTTCTTTTTTTGCAATCAAGTGGAGTGTGATAAACTCAAACAAGTTACTATGTATGCAACTCCTGTTGGTGTCATTCGTTGTTTGATGAAGAAAGATGAGACTATTGACATGATAGTGAATATGATCATTTATTTTATAGTTTAATACACAATGCACACGACATTGCCAGGATTCTTATTCCATCATATATCATTACGCAATTTTAGGTTCAGCTCCGAGTGACTTTGGCATGAATACAGGGTAGAAAACCCAGAAAAAAGCAGAAGCTAGATGCAAATGAGACCGAGGCGATACGAGGGTCTGACACGTACGTGTCTTGTTTCGCTGATTACAGATTTCGATTATCTGTAATTAGCGAAACAAACCATTTACTAATTAAAATCCCGTTATTTTCGGCAAAAGTTTTATGTTATTGTATTCACCACTGAAAGCTAAATATACTGGTCAAGTTTCCACCGACAGTTGTAAATTTTGTACGTGTAAGAACCTTGTTTCGCTGATTACAGATTTGTGAGTATCTGTAATTAGCGAAACAAGCCATATACGTATTAAATATTATTATTTGCGGCAAATATTCTGTAAATATTGAGCATATAAAACCCATATTCACTGAATACAGTTCAATTTTTATTATGCGTTTTATCCTGTTTCGTTTCGTTTCTTTGATTACAATAAGCCTTCTCCGTATGCTCGTGTTGGAAGTAGCGGGTAAGTTCCAGTGGGAAAGTTCAGGCGGACGTTTGTGGTCTAGTCGGAGCTATGGGTCCGCCAATTCGGGGCCTAGGGCGGTGTATGAGAGTGGTTGTTGCGAGAGGAGGCCGGGCACAGCAACCCTGTGAGTTTATTTCTGGGGGCCTATTGCAGACATTAGCATTTTAAAAGGAGCCTATTCGCCTCCCGCGCGGGCCCGCTCAGGAAGGTGAAAAACACCCTGCTTTCCCGCTAAATTTGGAACGCACATGGGGTAGTAACAGCATATAGAGTGAACCCCCGGGGTCATGACTGGCTACGAACATGGTGGATTTGATGACATACTCCGACATATCACGTGACACCAAAACCCCAAAACGGTATGTTAATTGTTACTTTTATTAACACAGAATGTCACTCCGGATCCATCACAGCAGTGTGGTCCGTACAGTCCTGGTAGTTCCAAGTCGGCTGAACGCTCCGCGAAACTGGATAAAGATAACCACGACACAATCGGTAGGCGGCGCTATACAACAATCAATGCGAACTGAACGGGTCGTCCTTCGCTACATTTGAACGCTACTTTACGGAACAAGATAATCGAATAAACACATTTTAACATCTTACAATTCTGATTTACAAAACAGTTTACGACATGCTAGTAGTTCATTCATTATATATTACATATATAGGTATGGTCGTCATTAGTAGCGATGGCAACGTTGCAGTTGGTACATCTACTAATGGGCTGAGTTTTAAAATAGCTGGGTAAATCTAAGTAATTATATATCTAATTCGTTATTAATATAAATTGAAGCATCTTACACAGTTCGCACGTTTGCGTAGTAAGTGTAGTGATGTACCCATTGACTTTCAGACGAGTCGGCGATTCCCCAATAGTTGGTGCTGGGTCATATGCCGACAACGACATTGGTGGCGCTGCAGCAACAGGGAATGGTGATATTATGATGCGTTTTCTACCAAGGTATGTGGTAAATACTAGTACTATCAGGTGGTCATCATGCAAGCTGATCTCTTTCGACATTTAAATCTAAACTTCGCAGACTTCATATAAATATATTATTGGTATTAAACATTACGGCGTGTATTTCAGTTACCAAGCCGTTGAAAATATGCGTCATGGTATGACTCCAACTGAAGCATGTGCCGAGGCCCTCAGTAGGATTGCTTATCGATATGAAGACTTTGATGGCGCTTTAATTGCAGTTAGTAAAGATGGAGACTACGGTATGGGATTAATGTCGTCATATGCATTCTATTACATTGTAGGGGTGGGGCATGTTGTGAAAGTGTGTATGAGCGATTGGACGAAGTAATATGTATGTACATGTATTTATTTTTCACCTTTTGGTATTTTAATGTGATTGTATACGTTTTATGAATTGCATTTATGACTACTATGGCTAAATTTGTATTCAACATTGAATTGGATGGTGTAATTTCATTTGTAGTGAAATTAAACTCTATTAGTGAAGACATTTTATTACTTGTCAGGAATGGGAGTCAGGATAGCGTGAAGGCAGCACACGTGTTATCACGTGAATAATGTTACTATTAATGTCCCGCTTGTTTCATCATCGTAACGAGTTATGGACTGCGCATTGTATCATACTGAACATATGTTCCTAAAATGGAAACAAAAATCTTTCAAGGAATTATCGTGATTACATTTTTTTATGAACGAAATGGGTGGTACACAAGGTACAACATATCCACTAGTCACGTGATAAAAATATCACATTAATGCTATTGCCTTGTATTGTTATAAGCAATACGCTTGTCATGTGACGATTGCACCATCTAGGGCACATGTGCTAATGTGTTGTCACTAAGGAAGGCCGTTCAGAATGTTGAGTTAACTTGATCTGTAATAATGTTTTTGTAAAGATGTATTCGAGATGATGAAGAACTCCACAATCAAACACAGTTTTCGCATTGTTTTCATCCAGCCACATCATTTTAACGTCACATAAGCGCTTTGACGCCTGGGGGCGCTTCTTATTGTAAATATTTATTTATCGACAGGGGCAGCATGCTACGGATATGAAGATGTTGATGTAACAATTCGAACACCGTCAATGGTTACATATTCTGTGATTAATATCAAGTGCACAGTGCAAGCAAAGCAGGCATCGTCCGCAGCTTATGTGACGACACTGCCCAAGATGATGGCGATCTTCGTGACATTGATCCATTATTGGCCGATAAGCTGGTTTAGTTAATATAGTCAACATTAAATTCTTCCACCACTTGGTCGTATAACTGAAAATTACCATATATAGATATGCTTTATCGAATAACATTATTATGTTGCAATTTTAGTATCACGTGTCGGTTGCATTAGTTTCAGTACGTGCACTCATTTTTACTTTAATAAATAAATTTAAATCATGTTTATACTATTATTATAATCCAGCATGCATACAATAAATATAAACATGTTTTAGCAGAGATTCTGTTTCAACTACGAGTCGACTTTACATTATGCAATGAATTTTACTGAAATATACAGCTCACCAAGACAATAGTGTATAAGACAATTCATTTCACATTATATAATACACCACTGTAATGCACTTAGTTAATACGCGTTTCATAACTGAGTCACCAATTCGTTCGTCATTATCTCTCAAAACGAAGACGTGTGTTTCTCTGACTTCAAAAATGACATAGGCGAGGGAAGGGGGGCTTTCCTGCAAAATATGCCGACAGCACCTCCAGGCCCCTACACACTTCCAGAAAGTTATAAATGCGAAAAATAATTTCAACAGCAAAAAACCCCTTCACATGTTTATTTTTCAAAATGGTTAATGAATTTACATGTGCCATTTTCTGCCACAAATTTCATGGTTTGAACGATGAGCTTCTATTTATAATTTCAGTAATGGATAGTGAGAGTAAAAAAAAAATCGACCCATATGTACCATGCATATATGTAGACCACTTTCCCGGAAGTCAAAAATACGGCGTTTCACATGCGCGCATAGCGCTTTGGGTTGTTACCTAAACTTGTACACGTGATATTGTGCTTCTGCGTATACCAATCGACGTCACAAAAATAAAAATTACAAGTTTGTATTTGTGGCCATGACAACGCAGGCATATTTCTGCACTCCAGTTTCGTTACTTTCCGGAAAGTGGTCTGTATATATATATATACATATTTCAGATGAAAGTACCGTCGGGCAGTCACAAACAATGTGGTTCAAATGAACAGTATGTTGGAAAATGAAGTCTGTTTCACTGATTGACAACAGAAGAACAAAACATCAATGTGCTGTAATCGGTGTTACTAATTTACGCCTCTAGAGGGCGTTACTTATTTGGACACCTACCACATGCATGGATATCACTGTGAATTACATGTACTACATTATACATCAGTACAGTACTGGTCTACAATGCAGTACTCCATTATACATCAGTACAGTACTGGTCTATAATACAGTACTCCATTATACATCAGTACAGTACTGGTCTACAATACACGTACTACATTATACATCAGTACAGTACAGGTCTACAATGCAAGTACTCAATTATACATCAGTACAGTACTGGTCTACAATACACGTACTACATTATACATCAGTACAGTACTGGTCTACAATGCAGTACTCCCTGATACATCAGTACAGTACTGGTCTACAATGCAAGTACTTGAGTGGGGCGAAACACAGAATCAATTAGTGAGACAAGACAAATGATGGACTGTATAAAGACTGCAAATATTTAATATTACATATAGTGTGAATTACACATTATACACTCTATAAAACAATTTATGTTTACAGGACAGTAGACAACTATGGCAGTCCAATACAGCATACATAACACTATAATCATATATATACATATAGTAGCATTAGAAGTCATCAAAACAAATAATGGCGGTGGGAATTAATTAAAACAAATATGTTACTGAACATTTTAGAGCAAAGATAGACAGCTGACATTGTAAGAATCACATCTGACCAAGAAAGAAATATTTTTTACATGATAGATTTAGTTAAAATTTAAGAAAGAAAGTAAAGTTCGAAGAATTTTGGCAGTATTGATACATAGACACATGTACTTTTAAAAAATAGAACAGGAAAAAATTCAATGGTGGTAAACAACAATAAAGTAGTTTTGGCAAAAATGTACACAATGTAGCAATAAAATATTAATACTGTAGTTATTGAGTTAAAAATGGTGAATTCACATGTTAAAGGAAAACATTTTCCGATAAAAACAAATCTCACTAAAACACACTACCTATAGTATGTACTGGAAGGCTTTTTTTGTGAAAACTTATTAAAAAAAGTGAAACTTTTTTGCTTTACTTTAAAAAGTGCATTTTTTTTTTAAATGTACTCTGCGATGAACTTTTTTCCCTCCAATAATATATTAACAAGGTTACCACTATTTGGTACCTAACCTGCATAAGAGTACAGAAACAAAATACAAATAAAAATACAGTTAATTAAAAAAAATACATATTTACTATGTAAAAATTTAGTTTGCAATAAATAAACCATTTCACTTTCATTATCACTGTTTGAAATCAATTTATATTTATCAAAATTTAAATATATTTCATGAAAACGGTAAGCAGTATCTTCTTCAGAGAGTTTGCTTCCAAAATAAAATTAAAATCAGTGAAATTTACAGAAAAGTGAAAATGTAAAAAAAAAATGTGGCAGTGAGAGAATGCTGTATAACACATAATTTTAAGGACATACAGCAATTCATTAACATCTCCTACAATTAATTATGATTAAAAAAAAAGTTACCGTATTAAAAATAAATTAAATATATAAAAAACAAAAACAAAACATTTTCGTGAGGCTCATAATCACATCTTTGCAGTCAGTAGTACATGTTGAATATATATATATATATATACACGAAAAAAGCCAAAACAAAAATAGATAAAATTGAAAAAGGGATATTTTAAAATAAAATATATAAATAAAAATAAATTAATGTATGGAGAAAAATTGTGTAATATAATATTTCAAGTAAAAATTAAATAGTACATGTTCAGTAACTATAGTTACACATTATTCATCATCCTCCTCTTCCTGCTCCAGCTCTAAGTCTAGATCTATTTGCTTAGAAGCTACTTTTCTGCTTATACCACAAACAATATCGATCTTGCTGTCATATGTACACTTCTTAAAAAGAGCTATGCATATATTACCAACCATGTTCTGTAGAATCTGATCATTCTGAAACACAGGTGGTATCAACAGACTGTGTGCAGCACACTGTTCTTTAAATGATGTGACGATATCTGAAGCCAACATGCATTCTTCGGGGCTACTATGAAAGTTTTTGCTAATGAAGTAAGAGGCAAGTGTTAAATAATCAACAGGCTTCGTAGCATCCAGCATATCAGTCAGAGAGCAATTTGAAGACTTTGATAGCAGCTTTACGAAATTTCCTTGATCGCAGAAGCACTCTGGGAAGTTCATCTTGACGATTCCGATTATGCGTAATTTATGAAGAATTGTCAGTGGAAACCTCTGACGCCCGTCTTCGTCACATTCTCGTCGAAACGCTTTCTCAATTGATTTGAAGCTTATTTTGATATTACTGTCGTTGCAGATTTGGTAATTGAGTAATATGAATGCACGGAATAAATATTCATACACTTGTGCGTACGTGATGACCTCGTTAGGAACACTGCTCTCCTGATTTGCACTGTTCTTCTTGTTCTCCGCTGCTTCTTTTGTTGGACGTCCACCAAGTGTTCTGTTAGCTGGCGGCTCAAGTACACTCCCTGCAGGATGTTTGTTATTTGTAGATGCTTTCTTCTTATTATCGTGGTGCATTACTTTTCGTTTCAAACCTTGAACAGTCATAATTGATTCATCGTATTTGCAGTTACGGAAAGACGCAGCACACTGATGCAATCCCAGCTGTCGAGTCAAGTACATTTTTCCAGACAGCGAAGGCGGCAACTTCAACTTCCTGTCATCACACTCTTGAATAAAATGCACTGCAATGGAGTCTGCTGGAATGCAGTTATCAGGACAAATTTCATAATTTCGGGCCAAGAAATCGATGGCAGCAGTTTCAAAATCTTCCACATCAAGTACAGCCTCAGGCTTAAAGAGTCCCAAGATAGGTGCTGGTGATGCTTTCACTATGCCAACGAAAAACTTGGACTTTCCAACATAAACACAGTCCTGGAAAGTTGTCAAAGATGCATACGTGATAAGCACACCATCTACGTACACATGGTCCTTAAAACCGTGATGTTCACAGTAGTCATCAAATTCCTGTATCAGCTGTGATCGTTTGACCTTGACTTGAGACATTGGAGCATTCTTGTAGTTGACCAGCAGGAAAGCTCTAACCAGAGCAATCTTGTGTCTATTAGAGAAGTCATCACCACTTAAGATGGCAAGTGGACTTGTGTGGACTACTACTGGTTTACTTCTGGTTTCCATTTTCTCAGATTTCTCAGTGTCCCACCAATCAACAGACTTGGCTGCAGAAACATTGTCAACGACCAATGGTGCAATAGTTGAATCTTTACTGAGCTTTGTCGTAATGGTAGCATCATTATTCAGCTGTGTTGTAATTGTAGCATCTTCATTGACCAGTGGTCTACTGGTAGCATTTTTGTTGACCAATGGTACACTTGTAGCATCTTCGTTGACCTCTGGTACACTTGTAGCATCTTTGTTGACCTCTGGTACACTTGTAGCATCTTCATTGACCACTGGTACACTTGTAGCATCGTCACTGACCTCTGGTATACTGGTAGCATCTTCATTGACTTCAGGTACACTTGCAGCATCTTCGTTGACCTCCAGTACACTTGCAGCATCTTCGTTGACCTCCAGTACACTTGTGGCATCTTCGTTGACTTCTGGTACACTTGTAGCATCTTCGTTGACCTCCAGTACACTTGTGGCATTGTAATTGACCTCTGGTACACTTGTAGCATCTTCGTTGACCTCTGGTACACTTGTAGCATTGTAATTGACCTCTGGTACACTGGTAGCATTGTCGTTGACCTGTGATACACTGGTAGTATCTTCGTTGACCTCTGATACACTGGTAGCATCTTCCTTGACCTCTTGTACACTGGTTGCATCTTCCTTGACCACTGGTACACTGGCAACATTGTCCTCAACCTGGGGTGTCATGGTAGCATCATCACTGACCAGCAGTGTATTCGTGAGTGGTCTAATGGCCAAAGTATTATTGTCCATCACAGAGGCTACACTATTCACTCCTGATAACTCTGGATTTTCATTATCACTTGTGATAGCAGGGGCAACTGATTCACTGGTCATATTGTCATTTTTGTTTATTGGTTCAACAATATCTGTCACACTATCTTTTTTGACCATTGAGGGAGTGGTCAGTAGATCTTTAGATGTAGTATTTATTGAGGCAGTGGTTATATCATCATCTCCCTTTTCCTTGATTGGAGAAACATGTACCGAGAGTGAATCATTCTCTTCAGTATGTTGGTATATTACTGTTGTTGATTCCTGCGTGCTATGTGTCTCATTAGTAGTGTCCTCATTGCCATTATGTTCACATATCTCATTAGTAGTGTCCTCATTGCCATTATGTTCACATATCTCATTAGTAGTGTCCTCATTGCCATTATGTTCACATATCTCATTAGTAGTGTCCTCATTGCCATTATGTTCACATAACTCATTAGTAGTGTCCTCATTGCCATTATGTTCACATATCTCAGAATCGTCCACATTTTCTGTACTGCTCGGTTCTGTCATTTCCAACGCAGGAGAGGACTCCTCATCACGATGAACCCTAGCCTTTTTGCATTTCCTACTTCTTCCCCTCCTTCTCCCTCCATACTTTCTTTTTCTGGATTTTTTCGCAGCGTCATTCTTTGGTACATTTGTGGATTGTTCATCAGGAATTTGATCAGTACTTATGTTTTCTTCCCCACTGTCTTTAGAATCATTCATTTTTTCGCTGGTTTCATCTTTCTGTTCTGCAGTGCTATTTAGTGGATCTTCCATCACCTTCTGATCATTAAGCAATGTATCACTGTTATCATTTTCCACTGTTTCATTGCTGTGATGTTTCTCATTTCTCCATGTAGCATCAGTCTGACCTCCATCTGCTGGTTTCCTTGCAGTCTCATCTATAGGCTCTTCTGGGTAGCTTGCAGTGTCAAGTTCAGCACCAGAATCTGAAACACAACCAAATAATTCAGTTGTTAGAAACACTAATTTGAGAGCGTGTGCGAGACCTAATTTTTTGAAGTCTCTGTGACTCTCGGGAAACCAAGACGAGTCACTAGGACACCAGTGAAAGTCACTGGGACTCCAGTGAAAGTCACTGTGACTCCTTGGGACCCCAGTGAAAGTCATTGTGACTCCCTAGAACCACAGTAAAAGTACTGTAAAATGCTTTATTTTCGCTTGAAATTCATTTTCGCTATTCTCGCTGAAGGAATGATTCAGCGAAAATAAAATCCGGCGAATATACCTTTTTTCTGTTTTTTTACATTCAACATTTTACATCAGTGAAAATGAATTTTATACAAAACAGTACAAACATTTTTACAGTAACAGCGATGCACAATTTAAAAACGTCCAAAAGTACAGTGCCAACAAATTTCAGAAGAGATCATTTCCCATTTGTTAGGGCTCTACTGTTTACTTAAAAAAACAGTCATCACAAGTATGAATAATTTCACTTACCATGGTCAATTCCTTGACATGTACAATTTCGTGACTTGACAATGCACTTCCAGCACCGCATATGTTTGCACACCATCGCAATAAATAGTTGTTCAACATTTGCATCTCCACACTGTCGACAAACTATTTCAATAGTGTTCTCAGAATCACCAACTGTTGTCAATTCGTTTTGTTCATTAGTATCACACTCCATCTTAATTACTACATCTGAGTGATCTGTTATTGATGGTGTCTTGCCACCTCTTGTTGAGCTGCATTCCTCCATTTCCAGCCTGGATTGATGTTCTACCTCTGTTGCCTCTGGTTCTGTTGCTGTAACTGGTTCTGTTGCTGTAACTGGTTCTGTTTCCGTCTCTGATTTAGTTGCAGTCTCCGGTACCCATGCTGCATCTGACACTGGTGCTGCCTCAGACTCAGACGCCATGTCTGTCTGAACTTCTGGTTGTCTATCCCGGTGATCTGCATGCTTTCCATTCTCTGATTTCACATCGACAATGGAACAGGTACATACATCATTTTGTTTCCTCACAGACAAATCTTCTGGTTCTTCCTCAGAAGTCTTACGACAACTGTAATCTATTGGCTGAAGATCCTCCGGGGCCTTGGGTTTTAAACTGAAGTCTAGTGGCTCCTCAATTTGTTGAGTTGCTAGCACAGCATTGACTGACACAGCTCTCCTGCTTTCTGCTACTGTATAGGGATAATATGGTGTCACACCATAACCTAGAATAAACAGAGTTAGTCAGGAATTTATTAATACCATACAGGGTTTACATTTGTAATTATTTACTGGGTTATTATTTTCACTGATAGCAAAACGCACTAAATTAAAATTCAATGAATATACCAAGTTTACAAAACAATTTGTTTCTTCTTTGAATTTCAAAGCAAGTGAATATCCCTTTTTATAGATTACAAACACCACTACGGTCTTCTGCGCAGTAGAATTCTGTCATTGAGAGTTTTATGTAATGTACATAAATATTATGACAACCTGAACACTGCTGGAGATTATAAAGTAAGCACATGGCTTTTCTTGTACTAGATATTTTTTGTACATGTACGTATTAGCATGTATAGTCCATTTAGGTGGAATCACAAGAAGTGCAAGGGTTGGGGCTATCATATATGGACTGTGTAACAAGTGAATTCACACACAAATTGGGACTGCACACATGTTAGATATAATACATCAATCTGAACAGTGAATGTACAATAAATACTGTAAGTACTAACCTGAAGACCTGTACTGATTGATGTATTTACGAGTTCTCCTGACGGCATACGGATATGGACAGTGATATTGTCCAATATTACCATCCATGATTGGTGTTGATCTTTTCCAACTGTTAACAAACATTGAAACGCATAGTAAGTAAACCACTAAGTGAGAAATAATAATAAAATCAGCTCAGTATGTCTTAACTAAGTGACTGCTGTGGTTATTATGAAATCATCTTTGATCCAGTGGCTGGTTTTGAAGGGTAAAACAATGAGGTATGTGTGAACAGGGAGCTGTAATGAACAGCTCCCTGGTGTGAAGCACTACTCATTCTGAGGTGTTATGCTATTGTGATTGGTCATCTCAGCAACCAATCATATCTAGGTTGGTCTAACAAAGGATGATGTAATTGTTAATGAGGTGATAACCCATCATCAGACTGACTTCAAGTTTTGATAAGTCTATATATATATATATATATACATTCCACTTAATATTAGTAAATTATTGAAATGTTTTACATATTCAACTTCCTCATTTTGGTCAATAGAATGAATTATTTCCACAGGGAAAACTTTGGCGTATATAAACACTTAAAATTTGTCTGAAAAACAAATTAACTATTTAATCAATGTGATCTTTATACAATTGATAATGAGCTGAGGCGAAAGTCAAAACTACCATTAATTGCGCTTGTGTAGTGGTTTGTTTTAAGATAAAAGGAAAAGCTATATATATATGTATAAATTAGTAAATTAGTTCCATGGTAAAACAGTGGGTGAAGCCATGCATGGAGCCTGACTTTGTTGTTTTAGTGGTTAATCTCAACTATATATGCAAACAATAGACAGATTTAGAACACTGGGGACTGGATGATGTAATAATAGCTATAATGGAACTCCTCATGTTATTGTAAGTGAGAATGTTTATCTTGCTTGCAGGGATGCATTGTTCAAATGTCTGGGGCACATTTGCATTTTGGTTTGCAAATCACCCTTATTTAGTTAAATCACCCACATAACAAAATCAGGTCTTGTTCTCTAATTATGGAGCTAGGGTTAGGACTCTGGTACACATTTGCATGCATAGTAAATGATGGGCTGGTGTAATCAAGGGATTAGAGAGTCATAGACCATGGTCTACATTATAATCCAATGAATATTATTTTCACATTAATTTTGATAAGATTGACAAGAAAGCAACAAATGACACAACTTATAATACCAGTAGTAAATAATTTAAATTAAATAGTTTAAATTGTCTGTTTTTGAGACCTTAGGAGCATCACTTATGATAAGTAAAGGTAGTTTGGGACACACAGATAGATTGCATTCTTTATTTAATCAAGTATACAGGGTTCAATCTCCTATAAACTAAAACCTACAATTGATTTTTCTTTTTAAACAGTATCAATAATTCCTGTAATATATCTCTATTTTAAAGGAATTCTGCTTACTGAGTGTAATCAGTTGAGAACCATAGATGACACATATAAAAAGCTTTCTATTAAATCCTACCATGGAGGTTAAAAGGGGTTATATATTATAGAATGTATAATTGTTGTAATTTGCATGTGAGGTAATTAACACAGTGTGAGCAGTTATCACCTATACCTCCATGAGACTCATTTTAGTTGGCAGCACTCTGCTCTATTGTCATGGTGATGGGCAAAACAATGAGGTGTAAGTTTTCAAATAATACAGTAAAACCTGTGAAATGTGTTATGTAATAATGGGGGAACTCTCCTTCCATTACTGTAATTGAATTACGGTTTCAATGTCATCAACCTGACTGCCTGGAATGGATATAATCTTTAATACAAGTAAACTAAGCATTGTACTAATTGTAAGCTGAATTATTAACCACAGAAACATATCTGTAATTTAAATGCATGTGCTACTAATAGAGCAAACACAGTAATTGGTGAATACATGCAAGTATACCAGAACAAAATAAAGGGAATGTCTTTTTCATCAAATTTATTCTAGTTAATTAAACAATAATGAATCATTGCAGCATCAAACTGGGTCTCTGGCAACATAATGTGAAGGCCAACTGAACACAATATTGCATGCAGCATCTAACCCCTTCTCCATACCCAATGTGATGCTGTTAGGTATTTCTCATCACAATTACCAATTTAGCTAAATTTGAAAGCTTTTAGCAGAAATAAATTTACAGGTGAATAGAGGATTACATTATAGTGTGATAATGTAGAGATATCACAAAAGTTCCTAATAGTTGTGATTTATAACATATAATGATTTGATAAATAATGCAAGTTACATAAATGATTTTGTTGTGTGTTGTCCCACATCAATTTTTTTACATCAATGTCCCTAAACCTACAATGTATGCACCAACCGAAACACACAGAAATGCTTGATTTTTGATGATTTAAAAAATGGCTTCCATTTGACCATTTTGAATCAGTTATATATCTACCGGTATGTCATGATGTTCATTTTAGCACACAAATGGCAAACATTTGGCCATCTTTAATCAGATCATGATACAAATTGATGTGCATATGTATAATATTATGTCGATGTATGTGTGAAGTTTGAATGCAATCAGTCCAGGCATGTCTAAGATATAGGTCCGGACGCACGCACACACACACACACGCATGGACACACGGAAGCACAAAGGGTACTAATAAACATCAGCAAAAATATATTATTTAATGGACCTCTGCAAAGAAAGTACCAGTTAAGTAGCTTTAGAAAAGACTAACACCTGGTTGAAAAAATAATTCTCTGTGTTTGTGTATTTGTTGAAATTACCGTACTCGACCGCGTTAGAGCCCAGGATCCTCAACTCATAAAATCAGGATTTTTTAGGGGTGGGCGCTTACCCGAGGACCCCCTCAGAAAAGAGTGCAACTGACAATTTTAATTCACCGTGACAGATTGAGGGGGATATTACGTCTTTGAAAATTTGAGGGAAAATAAAATTACGAAATTAGGTGCGTCGTCATTGACTCTTACAATGAAGAAACAGAAATGGTCAAATATGCACATTTTATTTACACAATATTAATTACGTACCACCTGAATTTACGAGATTAAAAATATTTGAGTCTGTTGGAACACAGTCAAAGTCAAAGTCTTCATCAGTATCGCCACTGACGTATGTGTCGGATCATACACAAACTCTCGATAAAAAGCACTTTCCGCCATTTGCATTTAACCTGCATCAACGTCCTTTGACCTAATGGGTCAAGTCTGTTATTATCCAATCAAAATGCTGTGTTGTACCAACGCAATTCTTTGGAAATTCCCAAGGACTCTAGGGTAACGCAACGCGGAAGTGAATCATCAATGTCGAAGTACGATCCGTTGGAATTGATTTTGGCGAATAAACGACATGGTTTTTTTTTTTTTTTAAATGGTAACTAGCAATTCACAACATGTTCACGGCAGTCGATATTCACGCTGTATCATGATACAAAAACGATTACCAGTATTCATTAAGTAATGATCAAAGACCAAGTTTTAAATTATTGGCATTTTGAAAGGGTGGGCGCTTTGCCGAATGTGACCCCGAATATAAACATTGCGCAAAAGTGGGGGGGGGGGGGCTTGACCGGGCATGGGTGCTAACGCGGACGAGTACGGTAATTAAGTACAATTTGGATTTCACAAATCTTGTCAATTCATCTCAATTTCACTTGTGAACCCTACCACTTTGTCAAGTTCACAGCTACTCTAAATCAGTTTGGCTACAGCCATAATTAAACTGCTAGTATTCAGTCTTCTTTTCTCATCTTGACTCGCACAAAGTCAGCGAGCTGTTATGGTGCTTTCTTAGCCTTTGAGACAAAGCAACTTTTGTCACCTTTTACACCCACATAATGTTTTTCTCATATTTTTTCTAAAATATTTAAAATGATCTGTGGCCTATGGGATCAAATGGACATTCTGTAAATCAACTTAGATGTAATTTTGCACAACTATAGTTAAATTATGCCTACAAAAAAACTAAATAGTGCAACTCATTGAGAAAGGAAATATAAATGAAGGAAACCCTGCCTACCTATCAAGTACTTTTTTTTACACCATGGCCAGAAAACCAAATTAGTTTATAGATCACTATAATTAATGATATATACAATAAATGTTATTTGTGATGGACATGAACTTCTATTAAAGATGCACTTTAAATGAAGCAGGGTTCTCCCCAGAAAAAATGCATAGCGCTGCAACTAATTTGCATATTAATTTGCATAATAATTTGCATATCATTTACGTACATTTCCTTCATTAATTAACAGAACTCATTTACAATTATGAATATTAATGAGCTCAGTCACAGTGCAAATATTTTTTTTAATGGAATCAACACATTATGTTTCACAATTTAGAAGAGTTTGAAACATTCTCGAAATACTGATGCTGCAGACTAAAAACAAACACAAATAAATTGTTGTTGCAATTTAATTGTCTATTGTAAAACGTTGAATAAAACGCATTCGAAACGTTAAGCCAGAAATATGTTCACGAATT